AAGTGTTCAATTTCCAACTGCAAAAGGATGAATTTGAATTCCCTTTAACTTTCATCCTATTTCCCTTGCTTTTCTCTAACTTTTTTGTTCAACCACTTTTCGAGCACTCGACAAAAAAGTTTTTCTCAAACTCTCTCCGTCCTTCTCCAACCTTCTCTCTTTTGTTGTAGGAACTAATAAGCTTAGGCAACTACTAGTTTCGTTAGCATAAGTGGCCAAGTTTTTCTCAAACTATTCTTTCTTAGCCTCCAAGAAAGAGAATTTACTGGGTAATTGTAGTTTAACGATATTACTTTTACTTAAGCAAGTCATTTAATGTTTTCTAAATTAGCTAAATGCCCAATTCTCAAGTCCAAAAGGATGAATTTGAATTCACATTAATTTTCATACAAGTCCCTTTCTTTTCTCTAACTTTCTCTTCTACCACTCAGGAAGAAAATTTCTCTCTAACTCTCTACGTCCTTCTTAAAACTTCACTCTTTTGTTCTAGGAACTAATTAGCTAAGGCAACAACTAGTTCCATTATCTTCGGAGGACAAGTTTAACTCAAAAAATTTTGCTTACCCTCCAAAAAAGAAAATTTTTGGAGTAATTGTAGCTTAACGATGCTAGTTTAGTTTACAAAACTCATTTCACTTTTTCTAAATCACCTAAGTATTCAATTCTCAAGTCCAAAAGGGTGAATTTGAATTCCTTTTAATGTTCAACCTATTTTCCTTTCTTTTTTCTAACTTTCTCTTCTAGTTCTCAAGAAGAAAGTTTCTCTCTAACTCTCTCCGTCCTTCTCCATCCTTCTCTGTTTTCTTCAAGGAACTAATTAGCTTTGGCAACTAACAGTTTCATTAGCTTAAGTGGCCAAGTTTAACTCGAATAATCATGGTTTTTTTTTGGGTGAGTAAACTAATCATGCTTAGCCTCCAAGAAAGAGATTTTACTTTGTAGTTGTACCGTAACGATATTAGTTTAACATAAGCATCTCATTTAAGGTTTTCTAAATCACCTAAGTGTTCAATTCTCAAGTCCAAAATGATGAATTTGAATTCCCTTTAATTTTCATCCCAATTCCCTTTAATTTTCATCCCAATTCCCTTTCTTTTCTCTAACTTTCTCTTTTAGCACTCAAGAAGAATTTTTTTTTTCTAAGTCTCTTTTATTCTAGGAACTAATTACCTTAGGCAACTATTAGTTTCATTAGCTTAAGCGCTCAAGTTTAACTCAAACTAATCTTTCTTAACCTCCATGAAAGAGAATTTATAGAGTAATTGTAGCTTAACGATAATACTTTTACTTAAGCAACTCATTTAATGTTTTCCAAATCCCCTAAGTGCTCAATTCTCAAATGCAAAAGGATGAATTAGAATTCGCATTAATTTTCATCCTATTTCCCTTTCTTTTCTCTAACTTTCTTTTCTACCACTCAGGAAGAAAGTTTGTCTCTAACTCTTTCCGTCCTTCTGGAACCATCTCTCTTTTAGTCTTGGAACAAATTAGCTTTGGCAACTATTAGTATCATTAGCTTCAGAGGATAAGTTTAACTCAAACTAATCTCGCTTAGCCTCCAAGAATGTGAATTTATGGGGTAATTGTAGCTTAACGATATTAGTTTAACAAAGCAACTCATTTCGTGTTTTCTAAATCACCTAAGTCTTCAATTCTCAATTCCAAAAGGATTAATTTCAATATCTTTTAATTTTCAACCTATTTCCCTTAGTTTTCTCTAATTTTCTCTTCTACTCCTCGAGAAGAAAGTTTTCTCGAACGCTTTCCGTCCTTCTCAAACCATCTCTATTTTATTCTAGGAACTAATTAGCTTAGGCAACTATATTAGTTTCATTAGCTTAAGTGACCAAGTTTAACTCAAACTAATCTTTTTTAGCCTCCAATAAAAAGAATTTAATGAGTAATTGTAGCTTAACATAATTACTTTTGCTTAAGCAACTCATTTAATATTTTCTAAATCACCTAAGCGCTCAATTCTCAAGTCCAAAAGGATAAATTAGAATTCCAATTAATTTTCAACCTATTTCCCTTTCTGTTCTCTAATTTTCTAATGTACCACTCATGAAGAATGTTTCTCTCTAACTCACTGCGTCCTTCTCAAACCTTCTCTTTTTTATTCTAGCAACTAATTAGCTTAGGCAACGATTAGTTTCATTAAGAGGACAAGTTTAACTAAAACTGATCTTGCTTAGCCTCCAAAAAAGAAAATTTACGGAGTAATTGTTGCTTAACGATATTAGTTTAACTTAAGCAACTCATTTCATTTTTCTAAATCTCCTAAGTGTTCATTTCTTAAGTCCAAATGGATAAATTTGAATTACATTTAATTTTCATCCTATTTCCCTTTCTTTTCTCTAACTTTCTCTCATAGTTCTTAGGAAGAAAGTTTCTTTGTAACTTTCTCTTCTAGTTCTTGGGAAGAACGTTTCTCCATCCTTCTCTCTTTTCTTCTAGGAACTAATTAGCTTAGGCAACTAACAGTTTCTTTAGCTTAAGTGGCCAAGTTGAACTCAAAATAATTTTGCTTGTTCCCCGAAAAAGAGATTTTACTTAGTAATTGAACATTAACGATACTAGTTTAACTTAAACATCTCATTTAAGGTTTTCTAAATCACATAAATGTTCAATTCTTATGTCCAAAAGGATGAATTTGAATCCCTTTGATTTTCATCCTACTTCCCTTTCATTTCTCTAACTCTCTCTTCTACCACTCGAGCTGAAAGTTTTTCTCTAACTCTCTCCGTCCTTCTCCAACCTTCTGTCTTTTGTTCTAGGAACCAATTAGCTTTGGAAACTATTAGTTTCATTAGCTTAAGAGGCCAAGTTTAACTGAAACTAATCTTGCTTTGCCACCAAGAATGAGATTTTACGGAGTAATTGAAGCTTAACGATATTAGTTTAACTTAAGCAACTCATTTCATGTTTTCTAAATCGCCTAAGTGTTCAATTCTCAAGTCCAAAAGGATGAATTTGAATTTCCTTTAATTTTCATCCTATTTTCGTTTCATTTCTCTAACTCTGTCTTCGAGTTCTCAGGAAGAATGTTTTTCTCTAACTCTCTCCGTCATTCTCTAGCCTTCTCTCTGTTGTTCTAAGAACTAATTAGCTTTGGCAACTATTAGTTTCAGTAGCTTAAGTGGCCAAGTTTAACTTAAACTAATCTTTCTTAGCCTACAAGAGAGAGAATTCACTGAGTAATTGTAGCTTAATGATATTACTTTTACTTAAGCAACTCATTTACTGTTTTATAAATAACCTAAGTGCTCAACTCTCAAGTCCGAAAGGATTAATTTGAATTTGCATTAATTTTCATCCTAATTCCCTTTCGTTTCTCTAACTTTCCATTTTACCACTCAAGAAAAAAGTTTCTCTCTTACTCTCTGCATCCTTCTCAAACCTTCTCTCTTTTATTCAAGGAACTAATTTGCTTAGGCAAGTATTAGTTTCACTAGCTTAAGAGGCACCGTTTAACTCAAACTAATCTTGCTTAGCCTCCAAGAAAGAAATTTTACGGAGTAATTGTAGCTTAACGATATTAGTTTAACTTGAGCAACTCATTTAATGTTTTCTAAATCACCTAAATGCTCAATTCTCATTTCCAAAAGGACTTTAATTTTCATCCTATTTCCCATTCTTTTCTCTAGCATTCTCTTCTACCACTCTGGACGAAAGTTTCTCTCTAACGCTCTGCGTCTTTCTTGAACCTTCTCTCTTTTATTCTAGGAACTAATTAGCTTAGGCAACGATTAGTTTCATTAGCTTAAAGAGGTCAAGTTTAAATGAAACTAATCTTGCTTTGCCTCTAAGAAAAAGAATTTATGGAGTAATTGTTGCTTAACGATATTAGTTTAACTTAAGCATCTCATTTAAAGTTTTCCAAATCACCTAAGTGTTCAATTCTCAGGTCCAAAATGATGAATTTGAATTCCATTTAATTTTCATCCTATTTCCCTTTCTGTTCTCTAACTTTCTCTTTTTGTTCTCTGGAAGAAAGTTTCTCTCTAACTCTCTCCGTCCTTCTCCCTTTTCTTCTAGGAACTAATTAGCTTAGCCAACAAGCAGTTTCATTTGCTTAAGTGGCCAAGTTTAACTCAAGCTAATCTTGCTTATCCTCCAAAACAGAGATTTTACTTAGTACTTGTACCTTAACGATATTAGTTTAGCTGAAGTATCTCATTTAATGTATTCTAATTCACCTAACTATTAAATTCTCAAGTCCAAAAGGATGAATTTGAATTAGCATTAATTATCATCCAATTTCCCTTTCTTTTCTCTAACTTTCTCCTCTACCACTAAGGAAGAAAGTTTCTCTCAAGCTCTCTGCGTCCTTCTCGTACCGTCTCTCTTTTATTCTAGGAACTAATTAGCGTGGGCAACTATTAGTTTCATTAGCTTAAGAGGCGAAGTTTAACTCAAACTAATATTGCTTAGCCTCCAGGAAAGAGATTTTACAAAGTAATTGTAACTTAACGATATTAGTTTAACTCAAGCAACTCACTTCATGTTTTCTCAATCGCATAAGTGTTCAATTCTCGTGTCCAAACGAAAGAATTTGAATTCCATTTAGTTTTAATACTCTTCTCCTTTCTTTTCTCTAACTTTCTTTTCTACCACTCAAGAAGAAAGTTTTTCTCAAACTTTCTTCATCCTTCTCCTATCTTCTCTCTTTTGTTCTAGGAACTAATTACACTACAATAAAATTGACTTTTTACGGCACCACATCAACGACATACAATGAATGCAAGCCGTAATTTCTCACTTTTACGACTTGCTGTTTTTGCACGTCGTAAATAATATACTAACCACGACGCGTCTATTGCGCAGGCCGTTAATGGTAAAAATAATAATTTTTTTACGACTTACAATATTTGTCATAAATAATAAAACTTTCTATGACATACATATGGCATGCCGTTAATACATCATATATATACGACATGCGTATGCCAGAAACATAAGTCACCTTTTACGGCATACCATGTGTGTCGTGAATAGAAGGGGAAGGGTTCTTCAAGCACTTGGTTTCTAAAAAATGAAAAAACACACAGTTTCTAAGAAGAGAGGGAGAAGAAAGACGTATACAAGTGAAGGGGAAAGGGTTCTTCAAACACTTGGTCTTCAATCAATTGAATCGGTGGAGATCGAGACGCATGGCAGTCGGTTGATGCAGTCCGCTTCCTTCCTCAACAAAGCAATCACGCTTTCCATTGAATCAATTTGTAATCTACTTCGACTTGGACTTGGCTTCAATTTCTGATTCCATCCGTTCAATTGAATCAATTTGTAAGGCACTCTCTCTCTTCCTTCTTCCTAAAACCCTTGTTTCGTCTTTCTCTCTCTCTCTCTCTCTCTCGGTATATATATATATATTTATATCCCCCTCCTCCCTTCTCTTCTCTTCTCTGTTTTTTTTTTCTCTTCTCTCTATACATACATACATACACCTTCTATATCTATCTACATTTTTGGGGTTTTTGTTCTCTGCCTTTTTCACTTTTTTTTTTGGTTTTGGTTTTGATTTTGATTTTGATTTTTTTGTGGATTGTTGTTTTTGCTCTTGGTGCCCTTGTTCATGGAAATTTGGTTTTTTTTTTTTAAATTTTTTATTGTTGTCTGTCACATAGGACTATTTTGTAGTTGTATTGTCTTTTCTTAACATAAATTTCTGTTTTATGCTTCCTCAATCTTTGTTTGGTTAAGTTACTGAGGTAGAAAACACCGATCAGAAATTGGGTTATTATCATATTAGGACTTGTCTTTGTTCATGGAAACTTGATTTTATTCTTTCATAGGACTGTAAGTTCTTTTTTTATGTGTTTTTTTGTTTTTCACTTCTATTGTCTTTCCTTGGCAAAATTTCTGTTTTATGCTTCCTCGATCTTCGTTTGGTTAGGTGGATGAGGTAGATTTTTGAAATGCACTCAAGGTGTTTGAAGGAAAGACTGATTAGAAGTTGGGTTCTCAAAATATTGTCATATTAGGATTTTTCATTTATTGTTAATGGAAAGTATGAAATTGATTCAATATGAGTAGTGTAACTCTTGTTAATAAGGGTTGCTAATGTGAGAGAATATTCACATGGGTGTTCGAGTTTAAGGGGAAAAATAGAATAAAATGGGGGATAAATATTTTTTAATTTGTGTTTTATGAACCTGACTGATATGGCAAAAGACCTAGATGCAACTCTTGAGATCAAGTCTTGTAATTCTTTCAACCGTAACATACCATCATACTTCTACAATTGTTGTAGCTCTCACCTTAGGTAGCTTTCACCTGGGCAAAAAGAAGCATATTTTTACTTTTGGATTTTACCATAATTTGTTGGAAGCTGAGTTTTTCTATTGTAGTTTATGTCTAACAGCAAACCCATGTGATGCATGAGTTGAATTGAGAAAATGAAATTATTTCTTGAAAAAATTAAACACCATTATGCATATGAAGGTAAGAAATTAGTTTTAGTAGAGTGTAAAATTTGGAATTATAAATTAATGAACAATTAGAACATTTTTTTGTGTTATTTATTGCTAGCATATGGATTTTCAATTTCTCATGTTTTAAAGATAGGAAAGGAGGATAACATGCTTTCTTTTTTACATCATTTTCTTGGGGAATCTAAATTCTTCAATTTTGTGTGTGTGTGTGTGTGTGTGTGTGAGAGAGAGAGAGAGAGAGAGAGAGAGAGAGAGAGAGAGAGAGAATATCTCATGTTTGAAAGAGAGGAAAGAAGGATAACATACTTTATTCTTTACGTCATTTTCTTGCTATACATCTTTCTGATTGGGAAATCTAAATTCTTCAGTTTTTGTGGCCCGTTCTCTCATTATTCCTTCACAAACTGTGATTGATCCAAAGGAAGTGAAGAATTGCGCTTGCTTTGTCACAGCATTGTGTTCCGCCCTTTTGTTATTTTTTGGTACAAATATTGGTCTTATAGTTTAGGTTTACTACCTCGAGACAATCAGGCATTTTCAACATGGGCAAAGCATCAAGGGATAAGAGGGTGAGTTTGTTTGTTTATGTTTGAATTTCTTTTTTACCAATTCTGGGGTTGTCTGATGTTCGACTTCTAATAATGGGTGGATTTGTTCACATGATATCTACTACCGAAAAGCAAAAGAAGAGGGTTGGCGTGCTCGAAGTGCCTTCAAGCTCCTTCAAATTGATGAAGAATTCAGCATATTTGAAGGTACTACATTAATCTTACTAATGTTGATTTATTTCCATCCTTAATATGGTGGGGTATTAAATTATTAGGGACTGGGCTCTTTTTATTAGCTGTATCAAACATTGTCCGTTCTTTTTTTTTCTCCAATTGTTTTACATTATGAAGGAATTCCCTGGTGCAGTTTTACTACAAACGGGGACTGATTATGCTTTATTAAGTTAAAAGTAGTTTCCCAAAATGATAAATAATGTCTTCCTTTTCTTCCAAGAGAATATTTTATTAAGGATAACAGCAAAATATTTTCACTTAGTGCAAAATGTAGACTTTAATTTTGTATTTTTCACCAATAGGAAACCATGGAAACTTATTTTCTAATATTTTTTTTCTGTTATCTATTCATCTGTGGTTCCATTTTCTTGGTTATGATTCCATAAACCTTCTCACCTTTTGTTGTTTGGTTGATACAAATATTATTTGCAGGAGTGAAGCATGTGGTGGATCTATGTGCAGCGCCTGGTAGCTGGAGTCAGGTAACTATCATTTCGAGTTTTACTGTGGAGGAACTTTTGACCTTTTTTTTTTTTTTTTTAATGATGTGTCCAATGGTGATGGAGAAATATAGATCGCTTCTTTATTATATTTGATTTGCTACCAACTAGTTTGAGCAGATCAAGATTTCATGCTGAAATGTCATAACTCTAACATGGTTTGATGCTTTGTTTTGTTTCTATACTATTTTACCTGCATGACATGGCAGAAATGGGATACGTGCTTGAGCCTGTTCCAAATTCACTGGAAATAGTATACAGATTTGATAATTTCAGTCTTTGACAATCTTCAGTAGACAATTTCGTTTAACTTTTGTACATTTATTGTGTTGAAGACTAGACAGTAACGATGAAAATGCCAATGGTCTATGTTCCCCCACCTGCCAATAAATCAACAAAAAACTGAAAAACAATGGCTGAAGGGGACAACATATTTACCTTGTGTTCTTTCTGTTTAAGGTAGATATATACATAGCATTTTTGTGCAATCTCTGATACTTCAGATCTTACGTGTAGGTTTTGAGTCGCAAACTGTATCTGCTTGCAAAGCTGTCACCTAATTCAAAGTGAGTTCCCTTGTTGAAACTTACATTTGTTAATATATATATGTAAAAAAAGTGAGTTCCCTTGTTGAAACTTACATTTGTTAATATATATATGTAAAAAAAAAAAATAACGCCTAATCAGTACACATTAATGTGTGTTTGGGAGGGGAAAAATTGGGTACACACCTAACTGTTAGCATAGTGTACAAAGTGGTTGCTCCGAGACTTGAACCCATAACCTCAAGGTTATTAGGCCAAAGTTTTACAGTGTCTGCCAGTACTATATTATTTGCAGTGTCTTCCAGTACTAACCTAGCCCAGGTACAGCTTTCCATAACAAAGATTCTGAAGTCATTATATTCAAGCTAAATCTTTCTCATCATTGCTGTAATAAAGTTGGTTGCTCAATTCCAATAATTTGCATGAAGCTTTGAGGAAGGTGTGTGAAATTTCAATACAGTGGGTGGATGGATGGAAGTAAAAGAGATTAAACTACATAATTGTGGTTGAAAAATGCAGTCACGTTTACAATTTCGATGGGCAGAGATGCAGTTACTTCGTACCAGCACCTTGGGTTAATTTATCTTTGACACTATGACATTTGTGCCCCAAGAGTTGGATAATTTAGAATGAGAATATGCTAATTCTACAATTTTCTACATTAATATAATTTTATTTCCTTCCAAGTTTTCCTCTTCATGGATATAACCCAATCGTCAAGAGCATAAATTTCCTCTTCATCATAATTTGCAGGGAAAGCGATCTTCCTCTTATTGTGGCTATTGATTTGCAGCCAATGGCTCTAATTGAAGGTGTTATTCAAGTACAGGGCGATATTACAAATGCTCGAAGAACTGAAGTGGTGTGAACATCTTTTTCCACTCAAGTTCTTTTTTTTTTTAATTTAATTTTTAATTAATTTATTATTATAGAACAATACAGTCTGAAGGAATGGCACTTATACCTGTTCAAAGCTATAAATTTAAGCTAAATTTGGTATTTGAGTCTTGCTTTTCATCAGTATAAATTTAGAACTTTTCAGTGGGTTATGGTTGGTGCACTGCTGCTCAACTTGTGTTATTGTTGATACATCTTCATCCTTGAACACTGATGATGATGCCTTTTAGATTGGGAATACATCATTCAGGTTGAATGAGCTGTAAGTACTAAGAGTGTTACACAGAGTTTGGCTTGACATTGTTGGGAAAAGACATCATAGCGAATGAAATAATGGAAGATATGGTCCTGGATGCTAAAATAGGAAAAATATAAACTTTTCTGATTGACCCTAACCAATTGTGTAGATTTTGCATGTTTGAGTTGGATTATCAATGCTATTTCATAGTTTTCCCATTCAATTGTTTGTTGTTGGGTTGATCAGTTGGTATTTTGGCCATGATATCACTACTATGGCTCCAATGCTTTGATGATAAGTGCTTGATAGAACTCTCACTAAGTTTCATGGTTGCCATGCATCCCTCCCTACTAAATGGTGTTACATTGTCTTTATCATATGTCAACATGCTTGTGCTTTTACTCCATGAATGATAGGTTTCCCCCACAACCCCTTTTTCCCCAGCCCTTTATTGTTGTAAATTGAGATTGGTCCTTTCATATGAACGTTACATATATTCAAGTCACTTGATATCTCGGACAAAAGATCACTTTATGGCCCTTTGTTTTATTTTTTCTTCCCCCCTTTTGATTTTTTTTTTTAGTAGTAAATGTTCAGTATATAGCCATCTAATAGTTTTTTTTTTTTTTTTTTCCAGGCTATTAGACATTTTTATGGATGCATTGCCATCGAAAGTTGATATACAAGCATACCAAAATCAAAATATGAGACAACTAAATCAAAAATTGCTACTCTTAGAACAAGAACTCCGGGAGATGAAAGCTGAAATGTTAAAAGGAAAAAGGCAAAATGAGGTTAAAAAAAAAATGAACAATATGACAATATATGTTATATATATATATATTGATGTTTCATAGCTATTCCTAAAATTTTTTCAATTAAAACTTGTAGGAACCAAGCGAAGATGCAACGGGCAAGAAAAATTCTCATGGAGAAACCCAGGTAGTTTTTTCTAATTCTCTGTCTTGTTTCTAATTTTATGAAGAGAACTACACAGTCCATAGACTTATTTAAATATAGGATTAATTACTAGCAGTATATGCATGAATGGGAAATCATTGTCCAATGTCCATGTTGAATTTTTCACTTCAACTCAGAAGATTAGAGCCACCAAAATTCATGATGACTAATTTGTGAGTTTTTTTGGGTTATTTATGTGAGAACCCGAATATACAAATCAAGTAAATAATTAAATAATAATAATATTACAATCTCAAATATTTTGGTGGTGAATTCTAAGGTGCAAATTAAATATTATTGGAGGATCTTTTAATTAATTTTTAAACCTAAAATAAATTTATGGTGAAAGTCATTAATTTAGAGGTAAGATTTATTATTTAAAATAAAAATAAATAAATAAATGAATTTAAGTGCCAAATTAGTAAAGCATATTTTGATCTAATAATATTTATATTTTAATGGAGATAAAAATTAAAATAATATAAAGAGATAATAAATTAGAGCCTTTTGGTTAGATATATATAAAACAAAGAATAATTATTTAGAGTTTTGTTTGGATATATATATAGAGAGCAACCCTAGTTTTCTTAACAAAAACCCTAACCCTTATTATAATTGTTTTACACAACACTTTCAACAAGTAGTAGCAGCCACGGGAAGGGGAGAGAGAGAGAGAGAGAGAGAAGAGAGAGGGAGAGAGATTTCCAGCACCCTCGTGTCTCAACAACTCTCTAAGGTATTAATCAATCTATTCTTGTTCTATTATAGATTATTGTTTACATAGTTATGGTGCTTATGGGTGTTGAGAGTTGTTGGAAGAAAAGGAATGGTTTGGCTGATTGGGTTAATGTTTTGTGCATATTATTATCATACAAAATTTTAAAGCGAATTAAGGAGCTAAAGTCATTGGATAAGAATTCTGCACAGAATCACAAACTTTAAAAATTAAGAAACCATATCAAACGAATGAATTTTGAACTGAAATTTTTACGGTATATTAATTACATATTGAATTGTATATCTGAATTTTTTTTATAATTTTTGGGAGTCAAAATCTATATAAATTGATGCATTCAAATCTGTCCAGAAAACAGGTTTTAAACAGTAAATTCGGGAGTGTTGTTCTCTTTGGGTATAAATCCAAAAATTATCAAATCAGCGTCATTAGAACCGGTTACGAGTTTAGTTTCTTACATTTTTTTCCTTGCATTGATTGCTTGTGTATATTAAGAGATCCGTCAGTATCTTTAAAGTGCTGCAGAAAACAACCTGTTTGGATATAATAAATTGTAGATAATTATTTTGATAAGCAAATCAAGTGAAACCAATTGGGTTTGAAACTTAGGATATATTAGTTGATATCTGGAGGTTTTTGGAATTTTTCGAATAGTGTGGAGTGGGTTTTGTAATTTTCAAAGTTAGCGAATCGATTGGGAAAACTTGTTTAAAACTCTGTTTTATCTTAAAGTTATTTTTAGTTAAGTTTTGATCGGAACCCATGTCTTGGGTGATTTTAGACCTTGAAGAACATGAACTTAGGTAATATTTAAGAGTAACGGTGAGTTGGGTTGAGCCGTGTTAGCACGCTTTAGTTTGGAGTTACTTAGTTCTTATTCTTTAGTATTTTTAAATTAGTAGTGACGTGTAGTTTTCATACTTGGTTCAGGGCAATAGTTGGACTTTTATACTCTATTCGAGGATTATATTATTTCGGTTTCAGGTGAGTAGTTTCATTCTACATATTTTTATAAATGTTCCCCTATCCTGAACTGTTGGAAAATTAAATTGTTGTTTCATGACTAAACTGTTTTGATAAATTATTATATTATCAATTGAATCAAATTATTTCTGAAACGTGTGAACTTGGCATACTGTAAACTATTTGTTTTGGTCTCATGTTTATAATGATGAACTACCATATTTTGTGAAACTGATGTGTATTGATTATTGGGACCATATGTGTATTTAGTCCAGGGAAATTATTCCACTGTGTGTGGTGACTCTGGCCACTAGGGAACAGATCTGGGTTGGGCCGTAATGACTCTAGTGCTCAACGATTGTAAGGAAAAAACCTTAAAAAAAAGCTAGGTGACCTTTAATCGGATCGTCTTTGAGAAAAGGCCTAGGTGCCACCCTGGGGATGACTCTTAGTTCGGTATTGAATCCAACGGGACTTATAGCCTTGAGAACTGTGTGGCATATTATTTGTTTTTCTTGGTATCCAGGAAATTATTGGTGTTCATATTATAATCTGTTTTAAATGGAAAATGTCATTTATCATGTTCTTGCAAGACATGAGTATTTTAAGTGTTGAACTGTGGAATCTTTTTTTTTTAAACAGACTGTATTTACCAAACTGTATGCCAATCTAGTTTCTGTGATATATATCTTATTTTGGAATTGAGCCATGTTTTCAAAACTGTATTTACTATCTATATTGCTACTCACTAAGCTATCATCTGATTTAGTTTTTATCAGTTCCAGGTGTTAGAAGGACTTAGGGTGGACTCATGGCGTAGTTGAGACTCGATTGCATGGATCTCTAGGACATTTATGGATTTTGTTTTAGATTGTCATGTCCAGTTTGTGCATATTTCTTTTTATTTTTATTGGGGTTCGTTTAGGATTATTTTGATATGTGGGCTATTTATACCCTATAAGTTTGAATGGTTTTGATTACGGTTGATTTTGCTGTTTATAGTTGTGGCATGTCACTGGATTGAGTTTTGGTTATTTATTACTGGACTATTGTATAGTTATTCAATGTGTTTATGGATTCGTGTTTAGGCTTACGTGTGCCTTGGGTTAAGTCCCTGTGGGCCACGGCCGGTCATGCCCGGATTTGGGGTGTGACAATTTATATGGGAAAAGATTAAGAGCTCACTTACTTTCAACTTGTGAAAATCCAGTATTTCTTATTTTTACAGCAATGGGTGAACAAATTTGTCTTCCTATAAAATTTAACTATTTTTTACTTTGGTGTTTCCCATCTTAGATACAAGGATATTTCACAAAGTTTGTAAAAATAAAAAAATTGATTAATACTTGTAGGAGTCAAGTAAAGGGGCAAATGGACACTCATATGGAGAAACCTAGGTAAATTTGGACATTTCTCATGCTTGTGTTTTTGCTTGCTTGCTTTTCTACTCAAGTTTGTCATATTGCATATGGATTACATTAAGATTCTAAATTTAAGTAAACAAATGCTTCTTTCCATTGTATTACAATTTTTTTAGGGTGAGGAAAACGGTAGAAGTGAACATAGGGTGCATGGAGGTGGTGAACGTAGGATGCACTCACAACAAAATATTTGGATAAATTTTGTATGGCATTACTAATTTACTCATTTGTATTTTTCTCGTGCTTCTGCTTTTGTTTGCTTACTTGTTTTTCTACTCGAGCTTTTGTCAAATTTTCATATACATTCCACATCGTCTACTAAATTTGGGTAAATAAATATAACTTTATATTGTATTACAATTTTTTTAGGGTGACGAAAATAGTGAAGACGATGAAGATATTTGGGTAAATTTTATATGACATTAATAATAATTTTAATTTTGTCTTCAATTCATTAGTTTAGCTTATGTATTGCTTTCATGATAGTTGCATGATGCAAATGAAACTGGAAATGGTGGATTCTTGGAGAATGCCAAATGCAAATTGTTGAACTGGGATGAAACAAAGGTGGTGGTTGCGGAAGGCAAAATTGCATCAATAGACTCTAAAGCATTGGTACATCACGTGCCTCTTGGCCCTAGGTGTTGGAAAATATGGGTTAACCATGTCATAGTCAATGCGCCATTGTTTCGCCCTAATCATGAGATGTTTGTGCTTGAGAATGTTATCGGAAGCATTGTTGCTTGACCAACCCATTTCATTAGCTTTGACTTTGAGTAAAACTAACATCTATGGATAGTTTTTGAGGACTTTGATGAATATATTTCTATAATTTTTGAATAGTTTTGGGTAATGTTTACAAACTTATTTATGTATAGTTTTGGATAATTTATAACTTTTTGGATAATTTAGAACTTAAGGATAGTCCTTTTGGATGTTTTTGAACTTGCGATTAGGTTTTGGATGTTTGGAATGTATATATTGACAATTTTTGAATGTTTATAATTTATAGATATAGTTTATTTTTATGGTTGAAATAATATTTTGGTGGTTGATTGATATTTTGTGAAGCTTGTTTGTAATATTAGATTGTAAAAAATAGATCAAATATAGAATCTGCGGAATTTAAAAAAAAAAAATGCACATTCTACGGCAAGCAAATTAGGTCATTATATGAAATATTCCACAACATTCCATGTACGCCGTGGTATGTTCTACTTATCTACGGTTGGCTGAGTAAGTCGTATTATATATTTTACGGTGTGCAATTAGTGTCGTTATTTGTCTCACCAATTAATGGCGTGCAAAAGTAATTGTTGAAAAAATAACGACGACGCACAAAATCTGCCGTTAAATAGTTTTTAATGGCATATTATAGCATGTTGTAGAAAAAGTAACGACAACGCATGTAACGCCCTCGAAATAAACCCATAATATCATACATTCACGGTAAAGAAAAGAGATTTCATATTATAATCATCAGAGTATTTTTACAAAAGGTATTACATGTTGACAACAAAAGTAAATGCCCTATAAGTTTACAACTTTTCAAGTCAACACTTGGTTACAAAAGAAGAGTACTAACTCTACACAAAATAAGCCCTTGGCTTGATATACATGTAATACAACAAAAACAACAAAAAGGGTCTAACAGCCTCAACCCTCCCAAGCTACGTCCTTAGGGGTGGCATAGCACCTGCACCTAAAAATGATGTCCCATATAGGGTGAGCTAACGCCCAGTAGAGATATGCTAAACATAATATGAGCAATAACTAAAACATTAGTATTTGATAAATGTTTAACTCACATAAATCAATTCATAATTCATTTCAATTACATGACACATATGTCCATGTTTCATTTCTCTGTCCTTCATTTAACCGATTCTCAATTCATAACCGTGGCTCAGAACCTGGCCAAACAATTTGGGTGAGATTACATCTCATATCAATAATACTTCCATACATCACAATAGATATACATATTTGCTGTATCAATATTACATAAAACACTTCCAAACTTCACAACATATACACATATTCGCTGTATCAATACTTCAATAGATACACATATTCGCTGTATCAATGGAGTACATCCCCTGTCTCCTCCCAAACAATATCTGGTTTAGGAGTCCATCTCCTATCTTCCCCTAAACCGTGGAGTATATCCCCCATCTCCTCCCACACAACACAATGTATATAAGCATCTATCATATACATGTTCAATCAATACACAAATTTGATGTATTATTGCATTCATCATAATCAATGATATACAACCGATTAGTTTTGATTCGCCTAATCATCATGCAATGTCTACAACAATCGAGACTATCCTCCACCGATAGCCCAAAGCAATTATTTCTAAACAGACAATAATTATATCAACAGATAATTTACCAACATTTTCAAAGGTGAGTGATTAATGAATCCAACTCCACCATTCTACCTTATAATGAGCCAATTTCATTATTTCTACTCAATTTCATATTCCCATAATAAATGTCATTAATTACACTAATGACCCAAATATACCCAAACATGGCATTTTCTCAACATTGACCCAAAGGTCCAAATATTATCAACAACATCAATAACCTCTTTTTTTAGACCCAAAACACATGTTTGAATCAAGAGAACAAAACCCATCTTTCCAATATAACACATCACAAACCCTAACTTCCCAAATCAAACCATTTATACAAAAAGCTCAACATCTATGTTAAAGCTCATAAAAATGAGTAGTTATCCTTACCTCAAATTCGGAGCTCAAAGGAGGAAGATGAAGAAATTCGAAATGCTCCAAACCCCAATATTTTCGGATCAAAATGTAGCCCTCAACAAGCTCCACACTTTTTACAAAGGCCTAAGGATAGAAGCTCACTCCTACTAGATCAAACCCTAGAGAGAAGTTGGAGTTTTAGAGTGAGGTGCTCTCCAATGGAGGCTTTGAAAAGTAAGAGAGAGAAAGAAAGTGTGAAAAGTGATTTAAAATCACCCAGCTGCAATCTGATATACGACTAGTCCACTCGAGTGGAGAATAGGACGCTCGAGCGTCAAGTACAAAAACTGAACCTGCTCGAGCGCAAGAATACCCGCTTGAGCGTCAAGACACAACTGCAAAACACACCCGCTCGAGCGTGACCCGCTCGAGCGTAAGGAAATCCGCTTGAGTGTGAAAAACACATCTGCAGTACTTTTGCAGACGGACAAACTACTGAAGGTGTGCAAACTCCGCTCGAGCGCGAATGGATCTGCTCGAGCGGACCACCAAAAATCTGGGCAACAAGAAATGGGACTAAAGCTCAACCAACCTGTTCGAAACACGCCCAAGACATTTCTAAATTACAATCCAAAGCATTAAAGGACGGAAATAAAATACAGACAACCACAACTATCAACGGAACCGAGTCCGGAATACAGTAAATAAGGAAGGAAAAACCGGGATCGCTATAACGCACAAAATCTGTCGTTAAATAGTTTTTAATGGTGTACGAAGCATGTCGTTGAAAGTGAACGGCTTTTCACGACTGGTCATAATATGACGTGCGCTGCACGTCGTAGAAGGGTTTTTACAGCGTGCGTTGCGTGCCGTAAAAGCCCTTTTTTTTTGTAGTGTTAGCTTAGGCAACTATTAGTTTCATTAGCTTAAGTGGCCAAGTTTAACTCAAACTAATCTTTCTTAGCCTCCAAGAAAGAGAATTTACGGAGTAATTGTAGCTTACCGATATTACTTTTACTTAAGCAACTCATTTAATGTTTTCTAAATCACCTACGTGCTCAATTCTCAAATCCAAAAGGATTAGTTTGAATTCGCATTAATTTTCATCCAATTTCCCTTTCTTTTCTCTAACTTTCTATTCTACCACTCAAGTAGAAAGTTTCTCTCTTACTCTCAGCATCCTTCTTGAACCTTCTCTCTTTTATTCTAGGAATTAAATTGCTTGGGCAACTATTAGTTTCATTAGCTTAAGAGGCGAAGTTTAACTCAAACTAATCTTGCTTAGCCCCCAAGAAAAGGATTTTACAGAGTAATTGTAGTTTAACGATATTAGTTTAACTTATGAAACTCATTTCATGTTTTCTAAATCACCTAAGTGTTGAATTCTCAAGTCCAAAAATTCCCTTTAATTTTCATCTTATTTCCCTTTGTTTTTTCTAACTTTCACTTCTAGTTCTCAAGAAGAAAGTTTTGCTATAACTCTCTCCGTCCTTTTCCATCCTTCTCTCTTTTCTTCTAGGAACTAATTCCCTTAGGCAACTAACAGTTTCTTTAGCTTAAGTGGCCAAGTTGAGCTCAAACTAATTTTGCTTGGCCCCCAAGAAAGAGATTTTACTTAGTAATTGTACCTTAACGATATAAGTTTAACTTAAACATAGTATTTAAGGTTTTCTAAATAACCTAAGTGTTCCATTTTTAAGTCCAAAATGATGAATTTGAATTCCCTTTAATTTTCATCATATTTCCCTTTCATTTCTTTAACTCACTCTTGTACCACTTGAGAAGAAAGTTTTTCTCAAACTCTCTCCGTCCTTCTCCAACCTTCTCTCTTTTGTTCTAGGAACTAATAGCTTAAGCAACTATTAGTTTTATTAGCTTAAGTGGGCAAGTTTAACTCAAACTAATCTTTCTTAGCCT